TCTTCGTGTGGACCTCTGTGATTCACACATCCCACCCGACCTCCCCTCTGTCACGCCATGCAATATTTTTCTCCTTGCAGCAGTTGACACAACTGAAGGGAGAGTCCTGGCGCCAAGGTACTTATACCAAGGGGTAGAGGTCTATTCTAATGTATTTTTTGCTACAGCAGAAGCTCTAGAATATTCCGAAATGGCTCCGTGCAGGCGCGGATCACCCGCAGTGTGAATCACAGAGGTCCACTCAAAGAACTACAATTACAGGTGAGTAACCTGCCATTCTCATCATGACTGAAATAGAAAGCCCACTTAATTTTGATTATTAGGAATTGTCTTATATTGATCATTTACAGTTAGTTGAAGGATATTAAAAGTTGGAAGTAATATTGAAATAAACATGAACAAACAAAAATATTCCATTAGTAGTTACAAAAATCACTATGCTAACTGTAAAACATGAAGCCATCTCACCACCAATAAAGATAATTCAATCATATTCATGAGAATTCTAGGGTTGCATTTGACAGACTAGCATCTCAATTCTTGGGCAATGTTCGAAACACCTAGACTGCATCTGTGGTCTCATGAGCAATACACCGCTCTAGCCAGCCTCAATCTAGTGAGTCTTTCCAGATGCAGTGCATGTGGACATTTATGTGGGCAGACAGGTTATCTTAAGATTTACACATTTGGTGCAGGAAACACTAATCTGGTATTACCTCCACAGCTGTATCTTCTGCATAAAGGTGTGGAATTACCTGATATGACGAGGCAAGATTCTGCAGTCCCAAACTGTGTAATATAGGCAGTTAGGATGACATTGGTAACTTTGTTTTAGCAAGATGTGAAAGCAGTGAGGGAACTATAGGTCTTATAAGGTATACTACTGAAAATCCATTATTTGTCACATAATTGAAATGCAAAGGCAAGAACAAATTGGAATTAATGTGAGAAAACTCTATCTTGCAGCCTTATTTAATAGAGACACATTGCCTTTTAAATTGTGTTAAATAGCATGCATTATATCTTATTGTATGTAATTATGGCTACTATAAAAATGATACAGCTTTCTGTTAATGACAGGACAGATTAGCTTTCAGACCAGGGGGGAAATTTTATATGGTTTTGCTTTGTTACTCTGGAGGGAATCCAACTGGAAACACATGTCATAATTCTGTGACTAAATCTTTTAAGATCATAATGATCTTCCTGCTAGACTGATTAAATGTACACTTCCTTTTGTGTTGTGTTCATGAAGTACTGGCTGTCAAAACAATATCAAGTGACATTTTTCATCTCAGCAATTATTATTTACCATGATAACAGTTGTCTCCAAAGTTCTGCCTGTGTTTCAGCAGTGGAAGGGAACTGGTCACATGAAGACTAATATCAATAGACAACAAGAATTAATTAATTATTTGATTTCATTTCTATACCACACCATTAATGTAGCACTAGTCTCGATGGCTCCCAGCGGAATTAAGAATCTAAACCATTCAAAGGATATCTGTTTTTAAGAGACACTGCCCTTTTCTTTACAAATGAAACTGTTTAGATTTCAAGGTCACATTGTCCTGGAGTCTCCATGTTAATACAGTATAAGGCAGAGGTTGACCCATTTCTAGTGATGGGAAGAATTGCTCTCTTCTGTACAAGATAGGCTGAAATGGGGACTTAGAGCCTGCCCTGCCATTGAGCAGAGAGAGGTAGCTTGCTCTGTAAGCTGTGTAGAGATACCATAAAAGGATGGCAAATCACTGCATATTTAATACTTTATTTTTACTGCCACTGGGGAGGACCTTGCAGGATTTTCTCCTTCTGGTGCCATAAAAATTAAAATCAACATTAAGTGTAGTAAACCTTGAATTGGCAAGAGAAAATGTCAGGCTGGCACTGGAGCCCTCTCCCATATAGTATCTATTAAAGCAGTTTGGTTCATTACAGGACCATCTCAGTGTCATCTGCAGGAAACTACTCAGTTTAAATGCTGGCCAGGCAGTATTCCTTATTTATATTCAAAATCCCTTTGATCTGACTTTTCACTAGCCTAGATTGCCTCTGTCCCATCCCCCACTGAAACAACTCCTGAATTGAAAGGTGGAAGAAAAATGTTAATAGGTAAGTCTTGTATTTCCCTAAGGGACTTCCTTATGAACAAAGCTTCCTGCCACAGCTAAGCCAGATGACTAGATCTGTGCTATTCAGTCAATGAATCAGGTGAAACAATTTGATTGGTTAAAGAGTGCCCAGATTAATTGGTTGCCAGGTTTATTAAAAGTATATTTAATACAAGCATTGACAAAGTTGCAGGTGCCATCCTTTGTAGCCATCCTGGAAAAAGCATATACTCCAGCTTGTGCATGAAACAAGAGGAATGTGTCTTTATGATGGTACCTACTGCAGTATGTGTGCATCATCCAAAAGCAGGGGATGGGCTCTTTTTCCCAAGAATTATTATAGGTTTGTGAGGAGGTCACCTCGAGCACCCCAACCAGCTGTCTGCTCCTGCCCCACAAGCCCTGGGGAAGCCAGGAGAGAGCGAGTCTTCTGGGTCCCTAGCCAGTGGGGGATGCACTGCCCCAGGCAGAAGAAGGGCCACTGCCTGACGTGTGACAGTTTGAGGAGGGCACAATGAGGGGAATAAGAATGCTGGAATTGCATCACCATGGATGAAGGGGGGGACATGGGGAGAAGCAGTGAAGCATTGGAATCTCATCTTCTGTTTCTCTGTGGAGGTGCAAACAGGGATAGAGGACAAATGGAGCCTCCTCCTCCCAACCAGCCGTTCTCTGTGGAGGTGCAAACAGGGATAGAGCCTCCTCCTCCCAACCAGCCCATTTAGCTGGGGAAGAGTTAAGAGTTAGGGATACCCCCTTGTCTGTACCATGTGCATCCCCTTTGCCATCTTAATCAACTTGTTGCACAGGAGCACAAGCCTCTCTGGATCACAGCCTATAGTAACTCTTCATGTGTTTCATGAGGACTGGCCTCTTCTGATATTCAGGTTATGATGTTCTATCATACAGGCCCATTGAAATGTGAGACAGATATTCTAGACTGAGACATAGTACTAGTAGTACGTCTGTTAGACATAGGATAGTAGAAGTTTAGACATTTGCACATGTTGAAGATAGCAAGATCTCTTTTACTTTCTGAAGCTTGTTTAGACCTTGAGTCATCAACATTTTTGGCACTGTAATGGTCTACCTTCAAAGGACAAGTAGCACCGAAGAGGTAATTTTAATGGTGTCTGGGATTAAAATTCAATGAGGAAAATCCACTGGGAACATAGACCTCTAGACTTACTATGCGAGAGAATCTTTAGCATGGAAACTTTCCAAGAGAATATTAATATCCCTGCACATATCACTTTCTCTGTGCTTTGATGGATCTTGCACAGAGGTTCCCTGTGGAGAATCTATTGGTGATCTTTGCTGAGCTTAACGTTGTCATATTGGGGGGGGAAAACTTTCCAGATCAACTATTCAGTGCCCAATATGGTCTTGCTTCATAGTCTCATTTTCTACCGTAGGAGTAGCAGCCAGATCACTCTGGGGCACTGGTAGAGGGAGTGCAGCCACACCATAGTTGCCCCCTCACCTCTGATAAGAGTCCTCTTTATGATCTTTGTTCCAAGCTCCTGTTTAATTGGTTGATGAGAAGAATGACTTAGTGAGATACTCTAAACTTCCTTAGTTGTGCACTGAATACTGCCTAGCCACATTTCCTTCAGCCAGCACTTAGCACCACTAATGGCAGCCACAGGCTGCCTCTCAAGCGAACCCAACCTAATTCTGCTCTCACCATCATACCTGGGCTGTATGAGGACATGGAGGGTTCTTGTAAGTTCACAGAGCCATTCTTATTTACACTGTACATCAGGACTGTCTTTTTTTTCTCCTGCTTAATTCATTTCTAAACACAGAAAAGGAGAATCACCGTGAAAATATATACATTTATATACATGGGGTAAATGTATGAAGTAGGCTAGACAATAATCAGTGTCATTATTCCAAACAAGAGTGTTTATATCTTAAAAGAATCCTAAAATCATCTTCAGATGTTACCCCCTTCCTGCTGAAAGCACACATTTCTCATTTCCTGAATTCATTTTGCATGGAACATTCTTCCTTGAATATTTCTGTAGTAGGTGTTGAGGTGCACTTTCTAAAAAATCAGGCAAACAATTATCCTTCATTTTTGCTCTTCCCTGAATTTTGAGATACAGTTCCCTGGTTTTAAAAACTGTATATTTGGAGGAACTGCATTAAGAAAGATGTGCATTAAGAAATCTAGCATGTGAAAGTGTATGCATTTGAGGAAAGTGCATATAAAATGAACATAAGAACAGAGTGCTGTCCTCTGAAGATGCCGGCCACAGAGGCTGGCGAAACGTTAGGAAGAGCAAACTTCAGAACACGGCCAAAGAGCCCGAAAAACCCACAGCAACCATTAGATCCCGGCCGTGAAAGCCTTCGCGAATACATTAAAACACATTTCTTTTAAAAATCTTTAAATTTTAATACAATATTTCCTGGACCTCCACATATTGCTTAAATGCCTGCCTGCAGAGGAGGGTCTTTGCCTGATGGATGGAAAGAAAAGAGGGAGGGAGCCAACTAGGTTTCTTGGGTGAGTGCCTTCCAAAGCTGGGGAGCATCATTGGGTCAAAAATTCATGTGGACTATCTGCTAACACTAAACTAAATTGTCTTGAGTCATGCATACTTGGAATGACTTGTATTCCTGTGTAGGGAGGTAAATAAATACATGTGGCAAGGGACAGAGGCACATATCCCTTGCTATGGAGAGGATGCCATGGAAGTGGAAGTGGTTTGATTCTGTGACCGTGCTTGAAATGATTTTGTAAGACCAAACTGTAAAATAAAATGTTCATACTAGCTCTTCTATTAATTACCAGGAGGTAGCAAAAAACAAATCAGTGTTACATCATGCATGGACTGATTAAATCTTACTTATTCCTTGCTGTAATGTTCCATTCAGGTTCTACATGGTCAGCTATTATGAGCGGAGTCACAGAATAGCAGTTGGATCTCGCCACGGTTCAGTGGCCCTCTACGACATCCGGACTGGAAAATGTCAGGTAAATAAATCATTGTGATCTCCTCTCTGTAAACTGTAGAAGTTATTGAAAGGAAAGAGACTGGCTCTGCACCAGTTGACATGCTGAGTCACTAGAACATTATGGATAATGCTAAAGGGGATCAATAGTTTAATGAAGGACTCAATGTATATAGAGTCTTACTGTTTTCATTTGCTGTAACTGAATAGCAAGCCCAGATGGGTTAATAACAGCTGTCCAAAAAAGCCGTAACTTCACACAGAGTACCTTGAACATTTTGCCTACTTCTGTACCAGCTTTGTATTTCTGCTAATAGCTCCGTAAAACTATCTTACTGAGAAATGTACAAAAATCTTCTCAGTATCCAAAGATGTATTACGTAAAGGAGGTTAAAAAGTACCAGTAATCACCATTAGAACATAGTTAAATGGGTCAAAATTCATCTGAGCCATCAACTGATTGGAAAATTGCAAACCCTAATTTTAAGAGACTAATTCCAAAACGCTCACACTGCTAGGAGCCAAAGATCATAAACTCTCCACTACTCGCATTTTCCAGTGTTCTCAGGAGACTTTTCATCCTTCCCAATATACCACTATATTCACAGATATGTGCATGTTTCGACATACCTTAAGATATGCTGAAAAATCCAAGCTATAACCATTAATCCTTTTTTACCAGGCATATTCTATTTAACCTCATCACACTTACAATTAGAACCATGACCCAATCTCCAATTAATTTTTGTCCTATTATTTGTTTGTTTTTGGTTGCGCAAAGAAAGAGGTCTTTTTAAAATGCCTGACTAGGCATTTTAACTGATTATGAAGATCAGTTTCTACAGAGATCTACAATGAAACATTAGATCCCTCAAATAAATCTTGGTTAAACTTCTTAGAGGATAGCACTCTTCACACATTACAAACATGCATCTCTTGAATAGCACATTTTTTCTGTATTCCCATGAAAGAAAGTCATGAACTGACACGAAAGAAGTACAACTACACATTCAGACACGGCCATTGACCTCTCAGACAATTTCCACATCGACTGACTAAATACCCTAATGCTTGAGCACATTGGGTCTCTTTTGTGTTAGTTGAAGTGATTTTAATCTTCTGTCAAAAGGTAGATTGCCTAACAAGTCCAGATTGATGTTATTTTTCTAAAAATACGTTTGTCTCTACCTGTATGTCATATAGCACAGTGTTTCAAGGGTGGTCTTAAACATTTTTAACAATTTCTTAATTCACATGTTTATCTTTATGCCTCCCCCATCAAAGAAGAACTATGGCATAGAGATGTTTATCCTAGATTTTTTTTCCCCTTCTGTCTCCCATAGTTTATTTGTTTTCATGTCTGGAGGGTAAATACGCTGTATGTTCCACCACTAGTTCTAGAAAGTGTGGCTCTGCATTATGGATTCCAAATTGTGCTTTTTAAAATGTGTCTGTGAGTCTAAAGTAGCTAACAAAGGTCAGAGGTGCTGATGGACGGGCTGGGCAAGTGCTCACAGCTACATCTCTGTATGAATGGCTGAATCTGCAATGAAAATCTTCCCTCTGGCTTGGTTTGCCCTTGGTTCAGTAGACATGCTGGAGTATCTTATCTTCCTGACTCCCCCCGCCACTCCCCACCCCTTCCTCCCAGCAACCTTTTCGGACACATTCTGTGAACCGACAACAGGCATTTTGAGAAAGTAAATCATTGGCTTTCAGTTGTACATTTACACCACACTTGCTTCCTTTTTTATTGTTTAACATGGTGCATTCTTAAAATTAGTAAGCATCTAGAGCTGGTTTAATAACATGTGAAGAATTCTGTCAGCCTATCTAATAGAGTTCATGGTAGTACTGTGGGGAAAAGGCATTTTTTTTTGTCAGAGAAGTAAGCTCTAATTTCAAATATGCTTACATGCAACCTGATTCACACAGTTATTTTACTCCTTTTTGTCTGTGCTTTTTTTAAAATCAGTCTGAGTTGCCTTCTGCTTGGCATGCATCACTTACTTACTTACTTACTTACTTACTTACTTACTTACTTACTTACTTACTTACTTACTTACTTACTTACTTACTTACTTACTTACTTACTTACTTACTTACTTACTTACTTACTTAATAACTTAATAACTTAATAACTTAATAACTTAATAACTTAATAACTTGTTTGTTTGTTTGTTTGACTTTTATACTACCATCTGGCTGCCAGGGCCAGTCTTGGCAGTTTACAACTATATGTTCATTTACTATACAGTACATAATCTGGGCAGGAATTATACTAAGTATGTTCAGTCTGCCTTGCTGACACATCAGTGGTCCAGTAAATGTGATGCCCACTAAAACTGCCCCCACGTAGACAAGTCCCTCAGGTCTTTGGTGCAGGCCCTGGACATCTTCTGGATCAACACCTGCAATGCTCTTTACATGAGGCTCCCATTGAACCTGATCCGGAGACTTCAGCAGGTCCAGAATGCGGCAACCAGACTGGCGGTTGGTGCAAGCAAATTTGACCATGTCACTCCAATTCTGGCTCACTTCCACTGGTTGCTCAGATCAAGTTCAAGGTTTTGACACTCCCATACGAAGCCCTCCACAGTTTGGGCCCATGTTAGTTGTTGGAGTGTCTCTCCTTAATGTCATCTGCCTGATGCACAAGACCATGCCATTTAAGGCTCCTCCGGATGGCCACCCTGGGGAGAGATCCATAAATCCTCTACAAGAGGCAGGGCCTTCTTTGTGGTAGCTCCAACTTTATGAAACCAGCTTCTAGAGGAGCGCCACCTAGCCCCCTCCCTGTGAACTTTTAGGAAGCAATTGAAGACATTGCTTTTCAGGGAGGCTTTCCTCACCGACCCCAGCTGACCACCTTCCCCCCGCCCAGCTTTTTTCTTTCCTTTCCTCTTCTTCCCTCTTATCTTTTCCTCCATCCACACTGGGATTAGCCGGTGCCAACTGGTTTTTTATGGGTTATTGCTGTTGGTTTAAATATCTCTGTTTTTATTTTTGTCTTCTATTTTACAAGTTGTAACTTGCCCACAGTACTGTTGTATCACTAATGGGAGAGGGGTACAAAATGGATGAATGAATAAACAAACAAACTGGTTGGGATTGGTCTTTTCTGTGATCAGTGCCACCACTGTCAACTATGTACTGTGAAAATCAAGGGATTGGAATTAAGATTACATGTGCCAGAGTTATTATTCAAGCTGCTTACCTTTCCTGTGTTATGACTCTGCAACATATTATGAATGGTTTGCATGAGATGAATGGGAATGCACATCAGATTTGTGGATGGCACATAATTGAGTGGAATGGTTAATACCCTTGAAGACAAACAAAATTCAAAAAGATTTTAATAGGCTTGAGCATCGGGCTGAAAACAACAGAAGGAAATTGAACAGAGATGTAAGTGCAAAGTTCTATACCTAGGAAAAAGAAACCAAATAAACAGTTATAAGATGGGGGATAATTGGCTCAGTAATACAACATCCAAGAAAGATTTTGGAATCATTGTAGATCACAAATTGAACATGAACTAACAATCTGGTGCTGTTGCAAAAAAAGGCAAATGTTATTTTAGTTTCCATTAACAGAAGTAGTCTCTGAATCCATGAAGTACTCAGTCCTCTCTATTTGGCACTAATTAAGCTTCATCTTAAGTACCGTAACTAGCTCTGGACATTGCACATTAAGATGGATGCAGACAAACCAAAACAGGTCCAGAGAAGGGCAACAAGGATGATCTGTCTGACTGGAAACCAAGCCCTTTAACTTGAACAGAGAGTTTGACTTGATGGCCTTTCAAGCTCTTTGCAATTCCATTATTTTATGGTTCTCTGATTGTGCATCATACCACTACAGGAAGCTTCTGTAGTTTCAAAAGGACCTGACTCTGGCTTTCTCTCTTCTAGAACATAGGTCCATGACATTCTGTCACGGATGCTGCCTCCGGCCTTAAGGTTTTACCTTCGTTTTAATTGCTTTGTCTTATCTTATGCACTAACTGCTCAGGGACAATCTTCCTCTCACTCTTGACACCTTAATGTGGGTCTCAGCCTTGCCACCAACACTAATGATTCCTCATACTTGTCCGTGATGTCAGTGTCACACAGCTTGCATCAGTACAAACTCAAGGTGCAGTCCCAACAGCATTTCAAGTACTGTAATCAAGTCATCATCTTTGGCTTGTAGCAGTTTTCAAAGAAGTAGAAAGTGGATTTAAATCCATAAAAACTCATTTGAAACAAATCTGTTGGCCTTTAAAGTACCATTGTAGTTCTGTTTTTGTTTTCTGGGGTGTGTGTTAATGTTCTGATTTGGTTACCTAGGAATTATGGAAAGAACAGTTCTTTCTGCCCACAGCTCTAAGTAAACACTATGCTTTTCTGCTACCCAGTACAGTGGACCCTTGACTTACAGACGGCTTGACTTACAGACTTTTTGAGTTACAGACTTCTCTGGCAGCAAAATTTAGGTTTGACTAGCAGCCTGAGAATTGACTTACAGACCAGAAAAAAACCAAAATGGAACAAAAAACTGCCTGTTACGGGATTAATCGGTTTTCAATGCACTGTAGGTCAATGGAGACTTGACCTACAGACTTTTTGACTTGAGAACCGCCTTCCAATACGGGTTAAGTTCTCAAGTCAAGACCCCACTGTACAAAACTTTATGATAACAGAGGTCTCACGGAGCAAAGTCTCCCCTCCCAGGCCATGAAAACAGAAAACTGGACATGATGAGCAGGAAATGCTCTTTAGTGTATTTTTGAGGCATAGAGTCTGCACTTATTAGGTTGGAGCCTTTGTGGTACAGTGGTTGAGCTGCAGTACTGCAGCCAGTACTGCTCACAACCTTTGTTCAATCCCAGGTAGTGAGCTCAAGGTTCACTCAGCCTTCCATTCTTCCAAGGTTGGTAAATTGTAGCAATTGAGTAGCCTGCATAATTAAATTGTAAACCACACAGAGAGTGCTGGCATATAAGCAGCACATTTTTTTAATAAGAACTCCTGGCTGATA